ACTTCTATGAGCTTTTTGTATTTACCCGCTTTACGTTACAGCGTATGACATTTTTATATAAAGAACATCCGCTTGACTTGTTTTCAAAGTGGTACAGTACTTCACTATCCTCTGTTATGACGCTTGCAACGTGCAGTAAAGAATATGCTCCATCTGCAAGAGTAGTGCTATTAAAGAAGTACGATAAAGAAGGATTTGTATTTTTTACCAATATAAATAGCAGAAAAGGTAAAGATTTGACGGAGAATCCAAAAGCTGCACTGCAATTTCATTGGGCAGAGTATTCTAGACAAGTACGAATTGAAGGAGACGCAAAACTTCTCAGCAGCGACAAAGCAGATGAGTATTATTCCTCTCGCTCACGTAACAGCCAAATTACTGCATGGTGTTCAAAACAGTCCAGAGTTTTAAAGGATTGGTGTGATTTTGAACAAAGCATTACATTAAAAAGTAAAGAGTTTCACGATCAACAAATTCCACGTCCAGGCTTTTGGGTAGGATTTTGTATAATTCCCATAATAATGGAATTTTGGCAAGAAGGTGAACATAGAAGACATATAAGATTTAGATATACCTTGGTAGAGGAAAATACTTGGACAGTAGAACAATTATATCCCTAAGGAGATGCCGCTCGCATCGCGAATTATAATTAAATTTGTTTCCCCTTGCCACCTCCTTATGCCTTTTCTTACAACAAACCAAAAAAAGGAGTTGACTTCTTATGCTTTGATTAATAAACTTAATTTATTTTATTAGTATATTTATGGCTAAAAAGAATACTCCTCTACTCGTGAAGTTAGTTAGTACCGCCACTAAAAAAACAAATACTGGTGAAAAAAAACTGACGGGTTATTTTTATGTAAAAAAGCGCAATCCAAAAAAACTTATTAAAAAGTTGGAATTTAGAAAATATGATCCCGTAGTAAGGAGGCATGTATTATTCAAAGAAGAGAAGTTAAAGTAACTTATCATGCAAAATTCACAATCAAATTCTTCTGTAGTAATACACCTAGCTGATGTTAAGGGTGTAAAATTGGAGTTAATGAAGATTATTGCACGGGTAATAAGCACAAGATATAAGACACAAAAGGAAGCAGCAAATATATTGAATATTGATCAGCCTAAAGTATCTCAAATTAACAGATTAAAAATTGAAGGCTTTTCTTTAAAGTACTTAATTAATCTACTAGCTATATTAAACCACGAAGTAAAGATAAAAGTACAGGAAAATCTTGAATTACACCCATTGGAGTTGGTTTAATCAAAAAAAATACTTAGAGATTATCAACTCATAATCTTTTTACTTATCTCCATGGAGCTTTAACAGGTAGTT